CTTTGAGAAAGGCAAAAGCCTTATATGCAATTCATCGGAGGTCAAGAAGAAAGGCAAACTTGAGCCCACTCACATAGTAGTAGGAAAATAGGATTCCGTGCACCCACACTGCTTCACCGAAGGTCCGTTTCGGTATTGTTTGAATATGTATATCACCCAACTTAGCATTAAAAAAGAAAATATAAGAGAAGTAGGATGATGCTACATACTATCCCTCCCACACCCGACCGGGCGAGATCCCGATTCGCTCGAGCTGGTCAGAGGAGAGTGCCCAGCTGATCTCGGGACCACGGGTACGACCAGCAAGCTCGAGCTGACACCACCCTGATTTGCGGCTGAAGATCGGGACAGTTGGCAAAGGGCATAACGAGCATTAAGATAATTTCCCATTAGGTGGCCAGGTGTGGTGTGGCCGCCCTCGCCCCCGGGGCTCGACTACGCGCCGTCCCCCAAGAGAGCCAATCTAATAGACCGCGGCCACACACACACGGCCTGAACACTGAGTACCGAGTACCTTGGCCTGTCCAGCCCGTCTCATTGCTCTGGAGGCACACCCCTCCCCCCTTCATTCCCACCCAGGCGTCCATCTTAGTTACACAGGGCTGGGAATCCCGATCCCCTGGACGCGGGTGAGTGGCCGCCAGCCCGATCGGTATGTGGTGTCGGGCCTGTAGATGCACATGTGTCCAAGTACCACCAGATGGCTGCCTATATTACTTGGTACGTGCTCGCGCAGCATGCAATATAGAGGCATGCCCGGCGAAACAAGCCCGTCCTGGAGTCGCCGGCATTGGCTACGACATGTAGCTCGAAATCGCCCCCAGTACATTGCACGAGGTACTCTACTTTACCTCCTAGATGGCGCCGTGGGCTGTATTTCGATAAGTCACTGGTCCGGGAAAGTCCGTCAACATTCCCTCACTCGCTCTTATGATAACATGTACCGTATAATGAATGCCATCTATGCTGAATCCTCGGCTGGCATTCACTCTGTCCCATAGTTATTAGCGAGGATTTTGTAAACGGGTATGATTAGGTAGACTGAATTATAATACTACTGCAGTAAAAATATAGAGCAACGTCGAACTCCAACCAAAAACACTGCATCAACCTTTGGTGCAATGAAGTCCTCAACCACCTAACAGCCGAAGCCTCAAACGGGTGCAAGTTCCTCCATCGGACCGCTCACATCTTCAACTCCCCCAAAGTCATTTAAAGCAATTCCAACTCTTGTTGTGCTTCTTAGTTGTCCATTGACAGGATGGTGTGGGCTTCTCGGTTATCCTGTTTACCGCCCGGGGAGGTCGTGCTGGCATTTTTGGCCTGGCGGCTTCTTTACTCTTTCGTGCTTCCATGGCTCGTTCTCGTGCTTCCACGGCTCGTTTTTCTCGTGCTTCTCGTGCTTCCATGGCTTGTTTCTCTGACGGGAAGTCCATACTCCTGCGAGCATCCGCTGCGAGAGTCTCGATCCACTGAGGGAATCTCTTCTCATCCGAGGTCGACGCTCTTGAATGATGGGTCAATTTGTGTATTTTTATCCTGTTGTTATACTCCATGGAGGCACGCTTTGCCTGTTCCACTTTCATAGTATCAGTAGAAGGCCGGCGAGAGTGGTATGGGTGGCTAGATTGCAGGTGAGGATATCTCGACGCTGATGACATGCTTGGACGGGATGGCACTGCTGAAGATGCTGATGTGCGTCTAGATCCATGCTTAGATGCCTTTCTGTTAGATAAACCTCGAGTTTTGGGAGGGTTCTGTTTCGGTGGCCGTGTTGGTCTGGCAGTATATATTTGGTCCAGGCCCGTCTTTGCGAAGCCCCTGAACTGGGGAATAGGAATATGGTCAACCATCCTGGCTTCTGCGTTGCTTTGGCGTTCTGTTTCGTTTGACCACGACGGGCGTAAATAAAGGCGATCCAGCAGGCTTTCAACTCGCTCGTTCTTGAAGCAGTTGCCAAAACCGCGTGAAAGAGATGTTCCAATTAGTTATACTGCGAGGGACAAGCGTGTAATGATTCTATTATTGCGGGTAGAGGTGTTGGGTTTGTCAAGACAGATATATGATACCAGATCTGAATTTCAAGACTTAAGTTGATGGTAGGAGGAAGATAGGTAGGCGGGATGAAGTGTCGAGTCAGAATTTCTGAGATTCAAAACAAGGAAGAGACTTCGCCAGTGGGTCATCACAAGAGATCAACCGCTCTTTCCAGATCTTTCTTTCACAGTTATCAAGTAAGTGTGGAAGGAGCTCGCCTACCTCCCATACTAACTACCTACCTAGGTAGGTACATTACCTAGGTACCTTATGGTAAGGACGACAGGCAGTGCGGAAGGTATAGCTCAATCTCACTAAACCTGCTTCTTGCCAATTTTACCAGTATCGCTCTTTTTTCACTAGTTTCTGCAAAGATCATGGAAATATTCGTCATTCATTACTTCATCAGCTGGAAACTCAAATGCCAACTCATATCCTCAGCTGGCCGTGTCCTCATTCCGGCATCGCATTAGGCGTGATCCATACCCATAAATATCTTTTGTCCCTGGCCTGGATGATATCTTAAACACCATTATAAACAAAAGAAATAGAGAAATAAGAGAAACATTAAAGGTCAAACGCCCTTTACGGCTTCGATTGTATGACACTCCCAGATGGTTCCGAATTCGAGGCATTCGGAAACGCAGGCAGAGTCTTCCCACCAGGATTTTCCTTCGTTGAGAAATGGGCCCCATATCTGTCTCCAGAGCTCACGGCCCAGGTAGCTCCTAATCTCCGCTTTGACCATCTTCTTAGATTCCGAAAACTCCTGCAGGGTCTTCGGGTCCATTGTCTCAGTGCTCTGGTGAGTGACACTTGCTGGAACAGCGAAAAACTTGGTCACCGTTCGGGTACTGCCTCTACCGCGTAAACCTGCATCACCCAGCCATTCTGGAAATAATTTGCAAGGGCTTGTGCATCTAAAGCTCCTTTCTAAATTTGAAAGAAGATGCTCTCTAAGCCAAGCCCTCATGTGCGGGCCAACAGTGCCTGCCCTTGGCATTGGGTTGACCAATATTAGGCGGAGAGCAGCGCCTGGCTTGAGACTTTTACTGATTCCACTCAGAAGATCAGGAATTCCAGCTGCAGGACACATTGCTGGCATGGTAAAGGAAAATGCAGCGTCATAGTTGCACTCTCCACGGAACTTGAGAGGGGTGGGTGTGTTTATGTGTATCGATCGCACATTTGGCGCGAGCTCAGTCGACAGCGGCAGTGGAGACACATGGTAGAACTTCTTTGTCGGGTATACAGCAGAGAGGAACATTGTTGTTTCTGTCGTAAGTAGTGTCAGTTTAAGAGATAGTCCATCGAATTCAATGTCGCTCACCTTGCGAGTCGTAGAGCTCCAGACAATTTGAAGCACCACTCATAGGGATAACCACTGGAGACTGAGAAGTGTTTGGAACAGTTGGTGCTTGGTCAAGATGATCAAGTGACCACAACATCCAACGACTGATTGGTGGGCCTAGAGCTTCATTGCCTTCAGCATCAGGGAATGACTTTCCGGGAGACTGAAGTCTGAGCAGGATGCTATCCAGCGGCTGCGCAGACATCCATTTTAATTCTTCTGCGCACTCATCCAGACTGGGAAGGTTTTCGGCCTCCTTGATTAAAGGGATGGCGACTGCCGCACTGTTTTGTGTAACTTTAAAAAATGGAGTTATATTCTGAGCTCCGATTACGTTCCAATTGCCGGGATCATGAATTTTGAGCTTAGGAGATGTCTTCGACGGAACCAGTGGATCAGGGATGAGCATCGCATCATGGGTTCGATGGCCGTTTCGAGTGTGTGCGTTTCTAGATTTGTGAGCATCAAGTTGGGCCAGGGTCATGGACGACTTACAATTCCAATGATGACTTGGCGGAATGTGAATTTCCATAAACTCCCCGGCTATAGTTAACTGAATGTGAAGCTCTCCTTGGCTGACCCGGCGGGACTTGTGCCTGGCCAGAGGCTACTGCATGACTTGAAGACTTCCGACGAGGGAAAATAGTGATTTTGCTTCGCTCGTATTCCTTCGATGAACAGTCGCGCACAGATTCAGAAGTTCCCTGGTCACTCTCTGGATACTTGGAAAATATGGAGTCTATTCAAGGGTGTGGTTAGCGCGATTCTCTAACTAGATTTAAAGGTATTATACCATGCTGAGAACTTCTGGGCGAAGCCAATTCATCACCTCTTCCGAAGGAACGAAGTTCGCCAGGATGGGAAGACGTTGACGGTCGGTCCACGGAGGTAGACGGTCGACCGGCGGCGAAACTAGGACGATTTGGGATATCAAAAGTGGGAGACAACGGCGACTGAGTAGATGAGAAAGTGGGCGATGCCAACCACGAGGACGAGATCGATGGTGTTGCTGATCCAGTCTCCGACGTATTCACTCGCTTAAGGTTCTGCGGTCGAAGAAAGGAGAAGGGAGAGTCGGCTGAGGAAAAGGAGCTACTTTTCGTAGACACAGACCTCCGTTTATCCAACTTTTCCTGCTTCTTCTTTCTCTCCTTTCTTGCTCGATGCTCTCCAACAAGCTCCCGGTTTGGGTCTGTCCAAAATACGTCCCACATGGCGGAAGTCGCTGCTGCTTCTATTGTAAGGGTCGATGATTGAGATTCAAAGTAGAGTAGAAAGGGAAAATAGTAGTCGTCTCGAGTCCAGGCCTGTCAGTGATGGCCTTCTGAGGAAATGGATGGATGGAAGCTCTGGCGGATAATGTGTTTCAAGAAAAAGAAAAGAAAGGGAAAAGTTTTCGCGGTGGTTGGTAGAGAAAGAAAAAGGAAATGAGCGAAAGGAACTATGAGAGGAAGAGAAAAAGTAATGTAGAATAAGTGGCAATTGGAGACGGATCCCACTACAGAAGAAGAAGAAGAAAAGAAAAAGTGAGAACAGAGTGAGGCAGGCCGGGAGGGCAATGGCTGGCGCAAGCTGATAAAAGAAACGAGAATGCAGGTGGCAGAGAATGACTATGCGCATAAACCAGGTCGCGGGGAGAGTTGACCAGCGACAAGATGGACCCTCCGAGAAGAAGAAAATGCAAATGCAGAATGCACAAGTCAAGTGCGGTGGCCGTGTCTGCCACTCAGGTGATATTGGTAGGCGAGATCAAGCAGGTGCAACCGTGAATCGGCTTCCTTCCATTGTCCCAGGTCACGCAGAGAGGCAGCACTATATGGGCGAAAAGAACCTGGAGAATACTTCTACCTACCTAGGTAGAACTACTATACCCAGAGACAAGACCGATCTGTTGCCTGCGGCTCACTCGCATCGTCACCCTGGCCTCACCTGGCTCCAGGTCACCAGCACCCGACTCCAAGACCGAGCTCGCGGATCAGCACCGCCTGCCCCATCGCACTACATCCCGTCCATGTGCTCGCTCGCTGCCATGTCACCACCCGGGAAGGCAAGCGGGTGGGAAGCTGGCGAAGCACACAACTGGCAATGGGGCCCTCCCCACGGCCTATGTACGTACCATGGCAGTACGTATAGGTACGGTGCGGCGGACGGACGAGCACATCGCCGACTCGACTTGCCGACACTAAGGCAGCGTGGCGCTGGACTGGTCTTGGCCTGACTCGACTCCAGGCCCCCTTCACCTTGGAGACGATCTACCCGCCCGACGGATTCCATGGGTGCAGCCGATGGCTAAGAAGCTTCTCCAGCTCCTCCGCGGTTCTGAAACACCCCAACCGAAGCGCTAAATAATTATAGCGCACAGTCTGCTGAAGACATCGCCTCCTTTGCATTGATGGGCCGCCTGCTGGCCACAGCCGTCAATGCCCCTTGCATGCAGGAAGTACAACCTAATACTATGTACTTACCGATGGAGACGAGTCCAGTTCCCACATGCCTGGAATACGGACTCGAACCCGTGCCGCGAAGACGCCATCAGAATCCCGTTGCTGAAACATGAAATATGATTCACCACCAGGGTTCAGGGCAACATGGTCCTAAACAATGTTCCGACGCAGCTCCTGTTCAAGCAACAAGGTCTAGAAGGGTTTTTGTCTTTAGCCCCTCGCCTGGTTGCAACGGTTATTATGGAGAAGCCAGGGAGGCCAATAGCATCAACTTAGATGGAGTATAAAGAGGCTGCATTAATTAAACTAAGCGCCGTCACTTGGGCCCTCGTTTCCGAATGACAAACAAATTGATCCCGTTCTGCTTCAGTCTAGCTCCAGGGCCCGCGAGCTCTTGGGGAGGCTCACAAGTTACACCAACCAGGATACACAACCACATGGGGTTGGCTGTACTACGTACTCCAGGAATCCAATACCATAAGTGAAAGATGACAAAGCCCAGAACGCTTTTTCAGTCTAGAATCAAATACTCTTTACACCTCGTGGCCCAGAGCAGCCAATAGACCCATCTGATCAGGCCTGTGGCCCGCCTCTGACTTTGCCTCGACCGTCACGCGAAGCTTAACACACCCAATCCATTGGCTGGGAGACCAATTTCATTTTCTCTTGACTCAGCGCCACGTTGTCAGCTAGTCTTGCCCACAATATCAATAGGAGGCAAGGACTCCTACGAGATGGGTGCAATATAATGCGGGCTAAAACTCAGAACAGATTGGACGCCAGAACCCTTTGGTTCATGTTCTCAACTTGACACCATCCCTCACGGGAACAGAAAATGGTACAAATGACCTATATTACAGAAGTGGCGTAAAATTGAAAGACATTTTCTCTTGAAGAAATCCCAGCACTGTCTCTCTCGGCCCCGTCACACTAGCTGGATTCTTACCATCGTCATCGACAAGCCAAGGCCGCATGCTGTGATAGCCAACATGCAGGAAGTCAATAGATCCAACTGAACCAAGCAAATTCTGGTCCCAATTTGAGCCGCTCCTACCCATAATGATGCAGAATTCAGGTGGCTAACTGTGGATTGAAGAATACCTAGCTACGGTAATCTCACACTACCAGAATTATTTGTGGCTACCTGAAGCTATTCATCTCCCCGTCTCCCAACTTCCCAAGTCTACCAGCAATTCTTGGTCGAGCATGTCCAATACGTTCTATTTATATTGCCAATAGATAGCACAAGATATGCTACAACTACTACCAAAAGGCAATGGGCCCAAAGGGCCTCGAACAGGAAGCAGTTCAGTCACAACAGCATGTCTCATAAATATAGTTTTCAGCCATGGCCACCTGTAACCCGCACGACTTGTATCATTTTTCAATGTCTTGGGCAGTCAGTTGATAGCAGTTACACAAGCACCCGTCAGTTTGCCATGCCAAACTGGTGGCCAATGAAGAACTCTAGCTCACAAGATGTAAGTGAAAGCTAGTGAGGGTTGTGAACAAGAACGGACCTTCTTTTCTTCTTTTTCATGATTTCCACCTGTCCTAATGTCCTAATGAGATTTGTCTGGCAGGTGCCGTGACCATCGATTTGCCCACCCGGACTCACAAGTACACTCATCGGGGCTGTATTTGCTATCCCGAAGAGGCCAGATCAGGCGAAACGAACGAACCACTCCAGCTTCGCCGGACCGAATGAGACAGGTTTCTCGAATCCCGGTCCTCTATTGGGCCCAGTAATACCAACCTGTTCCCATGTTCTGAGAAAAGGGTGCGCCAGGGTGGCGGTAGTCACACGAATGAAGCTGGCCAAAGACCTTCGGAGATGACAGAGAGACGGAGATATTTCCTATTCTTGTGGGGACGTCAAACTGCACCATTGGCCTCGAATGGGACTTGCACATGTGGCTAGCTTCCATCTTGTCCCATCGTGAGACTCGCTTGCGATCTCTGTTACTCGGCTTCTATCGAGTCGCACCGCTGAACAGCACATGGTGCTCACGGGAATTGACGGGCTCCATGGATCTTTGGAGAGAATGCCGGGCTTTGGTTCATCTTGTGGTTACTATCGGGAAGGAAAACATGTCGAAAAGGGCCGGCGGTTACGCACTTCCAGACAGCGGGGAGCCTGCGGACTCGAGTTGATACAGTGCACCCTTTAGGCCATCTCTCTGGACCAAGCTTCCCATGCAGGAGGTTGGGCCTAAAGTTGTCTGATCTTCAGCAGACTAGTTGGCTCTGCCCATTGTGCCTAGTACCTAAGCTTCCCCCCGTGACTGGCAGTGTTTTGGCTTGCCAGTCGGCACCAACTGTGGGCTACAGACCATCTCCGTTCTCACACTTTTCTCACTTTCTCCTCAACAGATTTCGAACTCGCCCACACTGGGAGTGTTTTCGTATCTAGAATTCTTTCGCTTACCCTCCCCTTCTTCTTTCTATCATCCCTCCTCTTCTCTATCCTCTACTCCGCACTTCGACCTGGGATCATTACGGCAGAAGTTGCTCCACGACAGGTCACTTGCTCCTTTTAAATCGCCCTGCTTTTTTGATGTTTTCAATTGGCCAGCTCGCCAGAACTCAATCAATGGGTAGCAGTCGCCGGGCCTCGCGGGCCTCACGAGCCTCTTCCACCCCGAGCCGGGATGTGGCAGGAGGACGATCCAGATACTTTGGCTTCAGAGACTTCCTCGATTATGCGGATGATTGGCTCACCAACTCACGGCTCGGGAGGCTATTTCACCTCGAGGGATCGGGAAAGGTAAAAGAAAAAAACCCTCCCCTCCGCTTCTTCTCACGTTTCAGCGGCCATTAACCAACGCGTCTCTTAGAACCCCGAGAAATCACGCTCTACCTTCTTCAGAGAGATTAGGGCCGGTCTGACCACGTTCGCGACGATGGCTTATATTATTGCCGTCAACGTAAGCTCCGATTTAGAGTCGCCTCTGTATCTACTAAGTTCCGAATCTGATGATTCTTAGGCGTCCTTGCTGTCTCAAACCGGCGGCACATGTGAATGTGCTCTGGAGAACAAGCTGAACTGCGATACAATTCCCAAATATGTCTCCTGCAAGGAAGGCAAGCATAATTCTCCAAGCCCAAGAAACTCTGAAGCACCTAATTAACAAACACTCAGAGGTCCGTAGAGATCTCGTTACTGCAACAGCCGCTATCGCCGGCATGGCAACAATCACCTTCGGAATCGTTGCGAACTTGCCCGTCGCCATTGCGTACGTGGGCTCTCCCCAGATTCGATCTTTTCCGAGATGATTTCTATTTTCATAGGGATATCATCCAAACTGACTCTTTTCATTAGCCCCGGAATGGGCCTCAACGCTTACTTCACATTCCAAGTCGTCGGTGCAAATGGCAGTGGCATTGTTCCCTATCGGACTGCCTTGACTGCCATCTTCATGGAAGGAATCATTTTCATCATCCTTGCACTTACCGGGATGCGGCAATGGCTCGTGAAGCTCATTCCATCGACCCTCAAGACTGCGACTGGTGTTGGTATCGGCTTGTTCCTGACCGAGATTGGCCTATCCTATTCAGCAGGAATCGGAGCCATCACAGGTGGTTGGATCTCGACTCCGCTTACACTTGGCGGGTGCCCTATGGAGCTCATCAACTATAAGACGGGCATGTGTGAAAGCGGCAAGATGTCCAACCCAACGGTGAGCCGAAAACCCGGTCTCCCTTCTTCACATGTTGCTTCTACAGTGACTGACATCGGAGCAGCTTTGGGTAGGAATCTTCTGCGGAGGCATGGTCGCCGCCGTCCTGATGGCATTCCGCATCAACTACAGCCTCATCATTGGAATGTCTCTCGTCTCTATTCTCTCATGGCCGTATGTCCAACTTCCAACCCCTTGATGACCACTTACTCACCCGTCCCCCTCAGGCGTAACACATCCATCACGTACTTCCCTGACAATGACGACGGCAACTCTCGCTTCGAGTTCTTCAAACAAGTCGTCGTGTGGCAGCCGATGACCAGGACTCTCAACCAGCTCGATTGGACCTTTGAGGGAGTTAACACCTCCCAATTCATCCTTGCCCTATTCACGTTCCTCTACGTCGACATCATCGATGCCACCGCCACTCTATACTCCATGGTCCGCTTCTGCGGCGTCGTTGACGAGAAGACGGACGATTTCCCAAGGTCAACTCTGGCTTATTGCACCGACGCCGCCTTCATCTCCATCGGCGCACTACTGGGTTCTTCGCCCAGCACAGTGTTCATGGAGAGCAGCTCCGGCATCTCAGAGGGAGGACGTACCGGTCTAGCAGCCATCGTCACCGGGCTATGCTTCATCATATCTATCTTCTTCGCCCCTATCTTCGCATCCGTTCCCCCCTGGGCCACAGGTTGCACGCTCATCTTGGTAAGCTTCCCATTCCCCCTTCCAATATCTCCCCCATGCGATAACTCAACTAACCCATCCAGGTTGGATGCATGATGTGTCGACAAATCGTAGCTATAAATTGGCGCTATATCGGCGACATCGTTCCATCCTTCGTTGTCCTAACCTTCATCCCGTTCAGTTACAGCGTTGCCTACGGCCTCATCGCGTAAGTCCACCCCCAAACCCTCCAGCAACTCCACGATTCCAGAGCGCTAACACCATCCAAACAGCGGCATCTTTGTCTACACAGTCCTCAACACCATCATATTCCTCATCGTGTACGTTTCAGGACACGAGCTCAAGCCCCGCGAGCACGACATGAAGGAATACTGGTCCTGGAAGACCACCGGCAAGGCCCCATGGTTCCTGCGCATCTACCGCCGTGCACGCTACGGCGCAGACTACCGCGAGGAGGAGGAGGCGGACGAGGAGCCCGTCGTCGGTCCCGTCTCCATGCTCGAGTCCGTGGGTGAATCCTCGTCCAAGGATGACG